AGCTGGATGGGAAGTGGAGCTGCCAGGATTAGAACTGATGCCCATCTGGGATCCTGGCGCATTCAAGGCGAGGACTTTAGCTACCAGGCCACGCCGCCGAGCCCACAATGGACATTTCACCAAAGAAGAAAAATGAATGGCAAATAAGTACGTGAAAAGATGCTAACATTATTAACCATTATAAAAGTCTACCTTATAACCTCAACAACATACATCATCCAGAATGGCTAAAATTCATAGGAATACACATATTAAGTGTTGCCAAGGAGACTGGGGCAACAGGAATTCTCATCCATTGCTTGTGAAAACCATCACTTTGAAAGACAGTGGATTGTATCTATATACTTAACCCAAGACTCCACCACTCCCAAGTCCACACAGACCTCTTGCCATTGTTCTAGCAGCTTTAATTGCAATAGCCAAAGACTGGAAACAATTCATGTATCAACCCAATGGACCATTACTCGGAATACAAAGAAATGAATGAACGTAGGGCCACATAGCAGGAAGCAGTGTGAAAAGCCCTGTGCTGGAGTGGCCGTTTGACACAGAAGGTGATGGCTCGAGCAGCTGTCCCCTGCCACCCATGCCTGGAGCCTGGATTGCATTCCAGGCACCCAGCTTCTTTCAAATATATGAAAGTCAGCATTAAAAAAAAAATGGCAATTACAGAATGCAGAATAGGGTTCGCAGGATCAAGAGGACTTCATGGGGTATTGAAATGTTCCAAGTTGTTGATGACAGTGGTTATAAACTACATGCACGTGCCAAAGCCCTGCAGAGTGTTCCCTCAGTTAATATTGGTGAATTTTATTTTAGAAAATCAGATTTTTAACAAAGAAAGAAAGCATGAATGCCTTAAGGCCAAAGAGACAGCAGTTACACCTATCGGATAATGGGAGCAAAGGATACCAGGAAGTTGGCTTAGTCGACCCGACAAAGCCCAGAAACAACACAGGTGTCTATGCAGAGCTGCCCAGAGAGCCCAGAGAGGACTGGCATTGGGCTCCCTGGAAAGGCAAGCACAGACCAGAGAGAGGGGCAATGAAGGAAAGTTTGCGTAGGGACTGTCCGGATCCCAGACTCTCCTGTCCTGTTCAGCCAGCCAGGGTTTGCTCTGACTCTGGCCAAGCAGTAACACTGCATCATCCAGAAAGGGAGAATAGACGCTCTGGACCCTGGGGGGAATGCTGGCGGGGAGCTGTCCAGCAGAAGGGACTCGGGGAAGCCACAGTGCTAAGTGAAAGCTCACAACTGAATGTGGAACACTTCTCAGAAATGACTTTCCCCTTTCTGGATCCCAGCTGAGTAAACACATTCTCACTGGGAAACTGACAACTCCGAAAGCAAAGCCTCAAAAGTAAAGACACTGGAGCATCCCCTACCCCCTGCCCCAGTCAGTCTTGCCCAGGGTGGTGGTTGGCCTCCAAAATGACCTTGTGAGGCTCCGATCTCCTGCTGATCACACCCTTGGGCAGGTGCCTTCCTGACTAAGTGAGGGCTGCTGCAGGCAGAACCCAGTCAGTGCATGTGCAGCTTGTATGTCCGTTTGGTTCATACAAACGGTTGTGGAGTGCAGACTTGACCCATCCACCGTGTCTGGATCCACCGTGTTGGATCCGGCCATTAGGGTGGAGTCCTCGTGCCTGAATTGTGGTGGCTCTGTAAGAGATTACTCAGAGACGACCATTATGCTCGTGTCCCAGCACACACTCCCTGTCTTGCTGTGTCATGCTCCGGGCTACCCTGGGACTCTGTCAGCAAGGATGCGCTCACCAGAGGCTGCTCCCGGCCTGTAGCCCTTCAATTTGTGTGCTAGGTGAACCCTTCTTTAAGCTGATTGCCTCGGGCATTTTGTTTTAGTTCTGAGCAACTGCCACTTCCCGGCAAGGGTGATGGTATGTGACATCCAGGGAGTGTGGCAGCTGCCGCTGGGGTCCCACAGATCTCTTGCTCCTGGCCAAGCCAGCTGTGGGCAGGTTGCAATGAGTACCCGCCAGGAGCAATGTGGGACAGAACTGCGGCTCCAGTGCCGGCCATGTGAATGAGCTGCCCAAATGGGGAGTGCTCTGTCTCCCCAAGTCCAGAGCTTGGCCTGCCTTCTGACTGTAGCTTCCTAAAGGCCAGGCCCAGACAGTCAAGACACCCCTAATTCCTGAGTCACAGATGCTGTGAGGTGTAACAATCACTGCTAAGTTAAGCCAGTAGGGTTTGGGGGTAGTGTGTTATTCTTCATGAGACTTTCAATCAACCCAGATTACCCTAACAGGAACCCCTACTTGACAAGTGCTCCCACTCTCACCCCACCACAGACCGTGGGTCCTGTTAGGCTCACCTCAGATACAAGCAGAGAATAGAGACAACCAGATTCGCAAACACTCTGGAAGATGTGAAAGACAGAGACGGGAGTTGCAGGACCCGGAGACTGAGCAAGGAAACGAAAACTTCCCCAAGCTATTTTTAAGATTCTCAAAGTGGCAAGAGAAAATATCATATCCAAGAAATAAGGGACAAGATACTAAAAATAAAAAAAAAATGTCAGAGAACAAGAAAGAGTTTCTGGAAATTAAAAATAGAGCCAATGCGAAAAGCGCTTAAAGGACAGGAAACTAAAGTTGATGAACTCTTCCAGAATGAGATGGCTGGTCCTCGGTGGTTGCAATGCGAAATCAGACTAAATGTGCTGCTTTGTCTTGAACGTGGGGCACATCTTCGCAATTGCCTGACCCTGTAGCCTGGTGACTTGGGTCTCCTAGGAGACATGTCGCTCTTCCCAGGGCTGACACGTCCATAAAGCAGCTGCTCTATATATCCGTGGGGCTTCTGCACCTTAAGCCTCAACTGAATGCAGGTTAAAAAAAAAAAAATCCTGCACCTGTATGGAACATAGATTATTTTTTTTCTTGTCACGATTCCCTGAACAGTACAATGGAACAGCTATTTACATAACATTTACATTGTTGCGAGGCAATTGGAAGCTCAGAGGAGGAGGTGCATAAATTACATGCAAATCCCAGGCCATTTTATGCAGGGGACATGAGTGTGCCTGTGTGTTGGCATCCACCAATACTAAACCCCAGGGAACACGAACAGCAATATAATGCTTGTTAACATCATTAGCAACTTTATCAGGGAAGACATTAAAACACTGGGGGTGTGTTGAGCTCTTGGCAGTGAATGTGAGTTTGCTAAAATTCTAAATTCCCTCTCAAGAATTGAAACTCTGTCATTGGTAACAGATAATACTATTAGGTTTTTTGTTTTTTTTGTTTTTTTTTTTTTTTGCTTCTACTCTTATTTATTTATTTTTTTTAAATTTTGAGAAACAGAGGCAGAGAGAGAGATTGGATCCTCTGGTCCACACCCCTGATATGATCTAGGACGAGGCCCAGAGCAGGAATCAATTCCAGTCTCCCAGGTGGGCGATGGTCTGAGTAGCTGGGTTCCTATCACCCATGTGGGAGACCTTGACTCTTACCAGCTTCTGGCTCTCTGGCCCTGGCCAGTCCTAGCTGTTACAGGCATTTGGGGAACAAATGTGCGTGTGTGTGTGTGTGTGTGTGTGTGTGTGTGTGTGTGTGTGTGTGTGTTTAATTTTTTACAAGTACTGGGGCCAGCACTGCATGCTAATCCTCTTTCTGCAGTGCCAGCATCCTAAATGGGCACTGGTATATGTCCCAACTGTTCCATTTCCAATCCTTCTCCCTGCTTGTGACCTGGGAAGACAGCAGAGGATGGCCCAAGTCCTTGGGGCCAGTGGGAGACCCCGGAATAGCTCCTGGTTTTGAATCAGCCCAGCACCAGCTGTTGCAGCCATCAGGAAATGAATCAACGGATCAGATCTTTCTCTCTGCCTCTCCTTCTCTCTCTGTAAGCTCTGTCTTTTGAACAAAAAGGAAATTTTTAAAAATTGCTATTTTGATTAATACAAAGAAAATCAATTTCATAAACATGATTTTAAAAATATTTTAAAATAAGTAAACATATAACATTTCATCTGGCTCATCATCAGAAAACCCATGATGGAGGCTCATCTGTTTTACAAACACGGGGAATGCTTTAAATAAAACTCCTGTTATACGAAATATCAGAGATTTCATAACAGAGTAATTATAGCCCTGACTGCTTAATGGGGCGGTTCAATAATGTTACCTAAACTCGTCTTTCTTAGGCCACTGACCTCCAGAACCCTTCTTCATGTGGGTGTGATGCTATCTGCCTGTTCAACAGAGTACCTTGTGCCCCCTCACCCCCGTTCCTGGCTGCTCCCCCTCTGTGAATTCAGCACCTACTGGTACCTCTTAAAAGTGCAACCACAGTGTTTGCTTGTGACTGGCTAATGTCCTCAAGGCTCAAATACGGCATGATTTCTTCACACTGGCATCCTGTGTGGGCAGGTACTGGTTCAAATCTCAGCTGCTCTAGGGTTGAGCCAGCTCCTTGATAATGGCCTGGGAATATCAACGGACGATGGTTCAAGTGCTTGGGTTCCATGTTGGAAACCTAGACGTAGCTCTTGGCTTCAGCCTAGCTCAGCTCTGGCCACCTGGGGAGTGAACCAGGGGAAATTCCAATGGATGAATCTACCACGCCTCTTTATTCATTTACCTGTTGGCGGTCACTGTTGGATATTGAGGGTGATGGTGCTACAAAGATGGAGGCTAGCAAAGCACAGGCGTCCCCAGGCAGAGGGGACGATGACAGCTGTGCCCCATGCCTGGGGAACCAATAGCGCAGGGTAGGGAAGTGTAGGGAAAGGGTAGGAGAAGTGCTGGAAGAATCCCAGCAGGGACTCAGGGCTCGGGACAAAGCCTCCCCAAGCCCTGCAACATCTCTTCTCATGAGACTCTAGAGGATCCTCTCCAGTGTTGCCTGTTTACAGATTAGAACCCCCTCCTTTCCACTCCGCCCACCCATCCCTGGTCGCAGCCCAAAGCCCCACGGATTGCTCTCCTTCGTCGTCTCCCCGCACCCTCCCGAGGGCAGGAGCCGTGGCCCACCTTGGGGAATATGGCCGCCATGCTGCTCAGGCACTCCTGGCGCTGCTCTTCCAGGCGCCTCTGCCTGTCACCCCAGGCCTGCAGCCTCAGGCCCTGCAGGCGGTCCAGACGCTCCAGCAGGCCACAGAAGTCCCCTGCCTGGTCTCGCATGACCCGCATGACCTTCAGGCTGGGAAGAGAAAGGCAGTGACTCAGGGGGCAGAGAGGCAGGCAGAGAGACTATAACTGCTGCGAACAAGGAAGGCAATGGGGCCCTGCGCGGTGGCGCAAGTGGTTAAAGGTCCTCGCCTTGCACGCCCGGGATCCCATATGGGCGCCGGTTCTAATCCCGGCAGCCCCGTTTCCCTTCCAACTCCCTGCCTGTGGCCTGGGAAAGCAGTCGAGGATGGCCCCTGGCTTCGGATCGGCATAGTATTGGCCCGTTGCGCTCACTTGGGGAGTGAATCATCGGACGGAAGATCTTCCTCTCTGTCTCTCCTCTCTGTATATCCGCCTTTCCAATGAAAAAATAATAAAAATAAATCTTTAAAAAAAGAAAGGCAATGGAGGTGGATGAGAGCTGGGGACAGCCAGCAAGACACAAATGGGAGGCGTGTCAGGGGAGGCCCAGCAGGACAAGGGAGCAGCAGCAGCCGAGGTGGCCAAGGCAGGAGAAACTGCAGCAGAAGGGGCAGAAGAAGGTCCGAAAAGATAGCGAGCTTCAACAGCACAGGGTTCTTATACAGTCCAGGCCAATTCCATGTAATGATACAGATATGATTGGTCGGTTTAACTGTTAACTTTCAAAAAGAGCAAGTTGGCAGGCTTCTATTGGTGGGTTTGAAGCAAGCAACTTTCAGAAGGTACAAATTGATGGGCTATAGGGCAGTGAATCTAACTCCTTCCCCAGGAGTGCTCTGCCTACGTGACCTGCCAGGTGTCCTGCCGGGTGTCACGTAGGCTGCTGGGCCTGGAGTTCACGCAGCCCCCAGCATAGCAAGTAAAGCAGAAATCACAAAAGCACCACCTGGAAACACCACCATCCTGTATCCCAGCTGCTCCACTTCCGATTCAGCTCCCAGCTAAGGGCGGATGGCCCAAGTGACTGGGCCTTGGCACCCACCTAGATGGCGCCCCTCGCTCCTGTGGCCTTCTGGGGCAGTGAACCAGTGGATGGAAGATTCCGGTCTCACTCTCCCTCTGCCTTTCAAGTTAATAAGTCTTAATTAAAAACAAACACAGTGAAGCAAAAATGAGGGCAGCCTAGTAGGGTGGGAGGAAGAGAGGAAGAAGTGGGAAGTGGACTTCGTGGAAAAGTCTAACGCTGTCAGCACTCAATCCCCCACCCCTGCCAGGCCTGTCCAGGGTCCCGGGGCCAGAGGTCCTCTTCCAGAGCCTCCCTCAACCCCGGGGGCAGGGGGTGTGGGGAGGAGCACCTACCGGAGGCCCTGGAGGCGCCTATGGAGGATGTACTTGTGGCACAAGCACTGTAGCCGGAGCACTCCCAGCTCCAGGGTGGTGGTGATGAGCTCCGACGCCTTGCTGCGCAGGTGGTGCGGCAGCCCCGCCTCCGACGCCTCACTCAGGAGCTGCAGGTTCTTCCGCTGGGCCTCCAAGTCCATGTGGAATACCTTCTCCCTGGCACTGCCTAGAGATCTCTGCCAAGAGGACCGGGGGGCCCTCCGGATGGGCGTCCCAGTGATGGGGAAGGAGGCGGATTTCTTGGGCTTTGTGGGAGGAGCCCGGCAAGCCCATGGTTTCCCCGCAAAATCTACTGTACTCACAGCCCTGAGCTGGGTGTTAGGGGACCTGGGCAGGTGTGGCCGCCTGTCTACGGCACTCACGGCCCTGAGCTGGGTGTTAGGGGACCTGGGCAGGTGTGGCCGCCTGTCCACGCTAGCTGACTGGGCCCGGCTTGGGGGAGGTGCTGACGGTGGCTCCGCCTTCTCCTTGTTCCTCTTTCCACTCGGGGCTGTGAAGATCTTCCCAACTGCTTGCTGCACCTGCTGCCCCGGCTCCTTCCGTGGGCTCCCTGGCTGCTTTCCCTGTGGGACAGACCTCTGCGGCTGCCCATCGGTGGCCACTTTGGTTTCCCGCTGCCGCAGCATCTCCACTTGCTCCTGGACCGCCCATTCCGGCTGCTGCAGCCCTGTCTCCTCCTCCCACGTGGGCTCATTCTCCAAGCGCTGCACTTGGCTCTCGGGGCGAGCCTGGCTGGAGCTCCGGGAGGACGGCTGCTGTCCTGCAAGGGAGTGAACGAGGAGTTCCTCCTTCTCCTGGAAGTGGCCCTTTTGGTCTCCATCTCCATGGTCTGGGCTTTCCAACCCTGGGCTTTCCCATGTCTTGGAAAACTTGAGTTCTGACGAGGGGATCAGCGGAGGCTCCAGGCTCCCTCTGCCCTCTCCGTTGAACAGATCTGCGACCCTCGACTGCATGGCCATGGTGGGCAGTGGTGGACGCATTGAGGGCATGGCACTGCTGTCCCAGGCCACAGTCACTGGGCTTGGGGAAATGGGAGAAAGCAACCACCCCTGCTTCTGTGGTGCCTGATGGGTTTGCTGTGCGACTGTTAGCTGCTTTGGGAAGATTTCTTTCTCTAAGGGGCTTGTGAAGTCTGCGAGGACCTCGACTTCGGCTTGACCTCCTGCCATCTGCAGCTGCTTTAACTGCAACTCCAAAGCGTGCTTCATGAGGAGGAGGTCATGGTACTTCCCCCCCAGGACTTCGTGCTGCCTCAGCAGCGCGTCCCTCTTGCTCTCAAGGGCTTGGATGGACTTCTGGAAATGCTGTCTTTGGCTGTTGAGCTCTGAGGTCATCTCTGTCTTCAGGGACTGATACTTGGTCTCCAGGCTCCTGTTTTCTTTCTGCTGAAGCACCAAGGCCTGATGGAGGTTCTCTACTGTGGTGGACATGTAACCGATGGCCTTGACCTCTCCCTTGTTGAACATGGTGGAGTCCAGGAGCTCCTGTAGCATGGACTTCACCTCGGAGACCTTGGCGAAGGTGGCGTGCCTGTCCTGGAGCATCTGCTCTGGGCTTAGTGGCTCTGAGTGAGCTATGGGTTTTTGAGGACCTTTTCCCCACCAGCCCTGCCAAAAGCTGTGTCGGGATACTAAAGAGAAAGAGAGAGAGAAGGCACGTGGCCCAAGAATTCTAATTTCTCTAGATCCAGCTTAGCCCAAATTCCCAACCAATCTCTTAAGAATGTGGTTAGAAAACAGATCTGGGACTGGCTGGACATCTGGGGAAAGGTTGTCAGGGGTCTGTTGGGCCCCAAGCCTGCCCAGGGCTCCCCCTTGGTCAGCCAGGTCCACTGTGCCTCCAGAGCCCAGAAAGGGGCCCAGGATCACAGACAGCTCCACTCCACTGCCCGCCCCACTGACTTGCTGTATTCTCTAGGGGCAGTTACTTATTCACCTCCCAGCCTCGGTCCCCTGAAGCCCACCTGTTACCTCTGAACTGTGCTCACAGAGAATCAATCACACAGTCCTGCTACCGTCCACAAGGGTCTGCTTCTAAATCACTGAGACCTTATCCTGTTTAGGGCATCACCAACTCCTGAGACCCTGTGCTGCCAGGAAACGCCCTGAGCACACGTGGTGCTCAGCCACGGGCGTCAGCGCTTCGAGGGCTGGGCCATGGCTGCAGTAGCATGGGCCTGTGGTGCAACCACACATAGGGCCAGGGGAGCAGTGGTCTTAGCGCAACTGTTCGTTTGCCTATTCAACAGACATCGGTAGCCCAAATAGCTAGTAGCGGATTCTGGATGAGGGGCCAGAGGACACAGGGCAGACAGGTGATAGCAACGTCACCGCAGCATCAAGCTGGTATTCTCAGAGCAGCTGTGTGGCCTGGTGCTCCAGAGCTGACTATGGAGTCAGCAGCTTGGGCTTGGGCAGATGCGCTATCTTCTTAGTGTCTCGGACCCTTCGCCTCACAAATGGGGGTAATCGCGCCAATCTGTCCGGCAGGACTTGCACGGTGCCTGCTTTGAGCCGAGCACACCACTAGGTACCTTGTCCGGTACCCAGTCACAGCTCCCTGAAAGCAACCAATGCATCGTAGCCTTGTTCCTTCAGGAATCAAAAATCTAGCAAGGAAATAAGGCAAGTATACAAATTGGGACAAGTGTTGTGGGACTGTTAGATATAACACCAACATCACCCATGGGCACTGGTTCCTGTTCCCGTTGTCCCACTTGCCTTCCAGCTCCCTGCTAATGTGCCCAAATGCTTAGGTCCCTGCACCCATGTGGGAGACCCAAACGGAGTTCCAAGCTTCTGGCTTCAGGCGGCGCTCACGCTGGCAGTTTTGGCCATTTGGGGAGTGAATTGGAACTTGAAAGATCTCTGTTATTGCCCCTCTCTGTAATTCTGTTTTAAATAAATAATCTTTTTTTTAAAAGTTTACAACTAATATTTAAATACACAGCATAGAGTAGAGACCAAGAGAGAATGTCTACTCTTGCATTTGTGCCCGTCTTCCCTTCCCTCCATCTAACCACCTTTGGTGGTTGTGTAGGTAGGTGGTCGCCCCCCTCATCCTGAAGGTAGCTGGTCACCCCCATCCTGTAGGTAGGTGATCACCCCATCCTATAGATAGGTGGCCACTCCTCCACACTGTAAGTAGTTGGCCGTCCCTTCATCCCATACAGGAGAATACTAAGACTCTGAGGTGCAATAAATGGTCTGTGTCAAAATGTTAGAAAAAGGCAGAGATGAGATTCAAGGTCAGGTCTGTGTGACCCACAGCCAAAGCTCTGGTGTGAGATTAAGAAGCCAGGAGCCCTAAGCGTGAGGCCTGTTCACCTTCCTTTGTCAGCCTTGCTTTCTCAGAGCTTCGGCATCCATGCAGACTGCCAGCCCCATCGGTGGTACTGGAGGAAGCTCTGAGATCTGGCCTTGCTGCCCGAGCACTCCAGGGACAGCCATTCCCAGAAATGGGGCCCCACTGAGCTTCCTGGCTCAATGAGAGAAGGATATTTCCACACTATGTTTTGTTCCCCGGAATCCATACAAAGCCAGCACTGTAGGCGGCACCTGTGGGAACACTTCTGAGCATCTCCCAGGGACGGTCCCTCAGCACTGCCCACCCAGCCCCTCCAAGAGAGATGGTGCTGTGTAGGGAAGATGCCCTGGAGACCCAGCAGCCTGAGACTCCTTCCTCGGGGAAGGCAGCACCCTGCCCCACCTCGCTCCCCTCCCAGGCCCCCTGGGACCTACTTTGTGTTTTTTTCCGTTGCTCTTCAACGAGGGTGGAGCAGAGTGAGATGAGGGTCTCAATGCTGCCCTTGGTGGCGACAAGGGAAAGAGGCAACACTTCCTCCATCACTTGAATCCATTGGTTCTGGACTCGCTCTTCTTCCTCACTCTCCCCGTGTCTGATTTCGTAGGTCAGACTTTCACCTGCAGAAGGAGTGGGCTAAGACAGTCCATCGCTGAGGGAGTCCCCAGCACCCGGGTTACAGCGGCTTTGACGTCACATTGCTTCCACTCCTCAATGGCTGTCTGAGGCTGGATGCATCAGTTACTCCCGGAAAAGGCTTGGGCCAGGGATAAAGGAGAACGGCTATATAAAGTGATCAATGCAAGGTGTACCATGTAGAAATGTGTAAGAGACACTGATGCGGTGACAGAGTGGACTAATCTTCTACCCGCAGAATCAGCACCCCTATGGGTGCCAGCTCTTGTCCTGACTGCTCCACTTGTGATCCAGCTCTCTGCTAATACCCCTGGAAAAGTGCCAGATTGTGGCTGAGGGGGAAACCGGGAAGAAGTTCCGGGCTCCCAGCTTTGGATTAGTTCAGTTTCAGCTGTTGTGACCATGTGGGGAGTGAATCAGCCTATGGCAAACCTCTCTGTCTCTCCTCCTCCCTCTGGAAAAAAATACCTAGCTTTCAAATAAAAGCAAATAAATCTTTTTTTAAATGCACAAGAGACCCTAAGTATTGCTGCCTTCTAAGGCAGGGAAGTGCCTGGCTTACTGGTGTGACGTGTGCTGCTGTGCTTCAGCAGATGGGCAATGAGATGGCTCTCTCTGGGCAGCTGAGGGCTCAGCGGACTGAGAGCTCCTGGGAGTGGCAGTGTGAGGCAGCACACAAGCCCACCCTGTCCTCTGACCCGCCCATCTGACCGGGGGAGCACCCGGCTGCAGGGCTCTGTGCCCTGGGCCACACCCCAGGGACTGGCGTCCATGTGTATGCTGCAAGGACCAGGCCGTGCTGTGACATCAGTCTGGGTTCCTCTGCAGAACAGGAGAGAGCTTCAAGAAGCTGGTGGAAAATTATATGAAGAGATAATGTTCATTTTGGTGCAAACACTTCTGAAACACACATAGAAGAGCCGTCAAAAAGTGAACAGAGCATGTGTTCTATGAAAAAACTGCACATACATCGCAAAATTGCTTTGTACCAAAATAGACTTGTCTTTCAAAAATTATTTTTAAAGATTTCATTCTTATTTTTTTTTATTAGAAAAGCAGAAGAGACAGAGAGGAAGATCTCCCAGCCACTGGTTCACACCCCAAGTAGCTGCAGTGGCCAGAGTTGAAGTAATCTGAAGCCAGGAGCCAGGAGCTTCTTCTGGGTCTCCCACATGGGTGCAGGGTCCAAGGACTTGGACCATTTCTCTACTGCTTTCCCAGGCCACAGGCCAGGAGCTAGAAAGGAAGTGGAGCATCTGGGACACGAACTGGTGTCCGTATGGGCTCCCGGCACTTGCAAGATGAGGACCTCAGCCACTGAGTCATCAAGCTGCCCCCCCCAAAAAAGAATTTGATTCCTCCCTCCTTTTCTCCCTCCCTCCTTTCCTCCCTCCCTCCTTTCCCCCCAACCGCTTTATCTGAAAGGCAGAGACAGAGAAAGATGCAGAGACAGACAGCACAAGAGCTTTGGCTGCTGGTTCACTCCCCACTTGGCCACAGATGCCAGAGCGGGGCAGACTGAGGTCAGCGGTATGAGGCTCAGTCCCCTCCCCTCACACGGAGAGCGGGCAATCTCATACTTGAGCCGTCATTACTGCCTCTCCAGGAATGATGCACATTAGCAGGAAACTGGAGCAGAAGCGAAGCCAGGATTCAAACCAGGCACTCTGACCCAGGCAGCATTTAACTACTGCACTCAATACTTGTCCCCAATTTTTGTATTCCTAGCAGCCCCCTGTGATGCCAACATCCTTATTAAATGTCAGGTTGAGTCCTGGCTGCCCCACTTCCGATTTAGCTTCTTGTTAATGTACCTGGGAAAGCATGGAAGATGGCCCAAGTTCTTGGGTCCCTGCCACCCACGTGAGAAATCCAGGAGGAGTTTCAGGGACCTGGATTTGGCCTGGCCAGGGCTCAGACGCTGCCACCACTTGGGATGTGAGCCAGCAGGTAGATCTCTCTCTTCTCCCCTCTCAACGTCTTCCAAATAAATTTTTTTAAAAAATCTTTGTTAAAAAACTCCAACATTTACTCCACCTTTTCAAATATACTCTCATAGCTATTGTAAGTTTGAATTCATTTCTGTTGTGACTTTTACAAAATGAGATGTTACAGCAGACTGGAAATGCAGGTATCATGGCATCCCCTGCTAAGATCGTGATGTTTGATGTTTGAGCGATGACGGGTTTGCCCCTCTGGGGAGTAGAAGTGATGCGTGGCGACACGACGCTCCACTGGGAAAGGCCAGTGTCCGCCCTCCCGTCCCCCACTGTCCCCATGGCCTCCCAGCAAAGGCTGACCAAGGCAGAGGAAGGGAGCGCGCCCAGCTGCCCACTCACCCCAGTCGCTCAGCCAGCGGAGGATCTCGTACAGATGCTTCTCCTTGGCTTTAGCACCTCTGGAGAAGGAGGCGATCTTCTCCAGCAAGATGAATCTCTGCCTGCTTGTCTGGTCTGCCTTTTCTTTCAAACTGTATCCTAACTCCTCCTGGAAGCGGCTGATGACAGAATTGACATTGCCCAAGATGTCTGAGAGCTGGGTAGAAATGCCCTGTGTGAGAAGCAACAAATTGCAGTTCTTACCAAGGCGGGTCCTGGAGCCAGGTACCGGTGGTGGCACTGTCAGTTAGGGCATGTCCCTGAACCCCACTAGGTCTTGATTTTCTTGCAGGGATTGTTAAAATGTTAGAATCAAAGGGGCCGGCACAGTAGCCTGTTGGCTAAAGTCCTCACTTTGAACACACCTGCATTCCATGTGGATGCCGGTTCTAATCCTGGTGGCCCCACTTCCCATCCAGCTCCCTGCTTGTGGCCTGGGAAAGCAGTCAAGGATGGCCCAAATCCTTGGGACCCTGCACCCCCATGGGAGACCCGAAAGAGGCTCTGGGTTCCTGGCTTGGGATTGGCTCATCTCCAGCCGTTGCATCCACTTGAGGAGTGAGTCAATGGAAGATCTTCCTCTCTGTCTCTCCTCCCCTCTGTATATCTGACTTTCCAATAAAAATAAAATAATAAATCTTAAAAAAGATCTACCTTTAAAAAAATTTTTTTTTATTGGAAAGGCGGATATACAGAGAGAAGAGACAGAGAGGAAGATCCTCTGTTCGATGATTCACTCCCCAAGTGAGCGCAATGGCCGATGCTATGCCCATCCGAAGCCAGGAGACTCTTCCGGGTCTCCCACATGGGTGCAGGGCCCCAAAGCCCTGGGCCGTCCTTGACTGCTTTCCCGGGCCACAGGCAGGGAGCTGGAAGGGAAGCGGGGCTGCCGGGATAGAACCGGCGCCCACATGGGATCCTGGGCGTTCAAGGTGAGGACCTTAACCACTTGCGCCACTGCGCCAGGCCCAAAAAAAGATCTACTTTTAAAAGCCTTTAAAAATGTTACAGGGTTGTCGTAAGAATTAAATGAATAAGGAGGGCCCAGCGGCGTGGCCTAGTGGCTAAAGTCCTCGCCTTGAATGCGCTGGGATCCCATATGGGCGCCAGTTCTAATCCCAGCAGCTCCACTTCCCATCCAGCTCCCTGCTTGTGGCCTGGGAAAGCAGTAGAGGATGGCCCAAAGCCTTGGGACCCTGCACCCATGTGGGATACCCAGAAGAAGTTCCTGGCTCCTGGCTTTGGATCGACACAGTACCGGCCGTCGCAGTCACTTGGGGAGTGAATCATCGGATGGAGGATCTTCCTCTCTGTCTTTCCTCCTCTCTGTATATCTGACTTTGAAATAAAAATAAATAACCTCCCCCCCGCCAAAAAAAAAGAAGAATAAGGAAGCTGGGTTTGTGATACAGTGTATTAAGCCACTGAGTGTGGTGCCAGAATCTACCATGGGTGCCACTTTGAATTCTGGCTGCGCCATGTCTGATACAGCTCCATGGTAACGCACCTTGGAAAGCAGTGGAAAGTGGCCTGAGTGTTCGTGGTCTCCTGTACCCAATGGGACCCCCAACTGAGACTCCAGACTCCTGGCTCCTGGTTGGCCATCCCTGACTCTTGTGGCCATCTGGGCAGTAAAACAACAGATGGAAGATTCTCTCTCTCTTCTCACCCTGCCCTCAATTCAACCATTCAAATAAATAAAAATGAAGAAAGAACAGGGTCTGGCACATGACACACACAATGATAGCAGAGCCTCTAATTATTATCAGCAGACATAACAAAGGTGTCATCATGGTTATCATTCTGTGGATTAAGGCCAGGAAAGGATACTGAACACATCTCAGCAGACATTTCTTCAGCGTCTCTGACCTTGCTGGGAGCCTGGGAACGCCTCTTCAAAGGATGTAGAGGAGTCAAGCAGAACAGGGATCCCCAAGAAACCAGCAGGGCCCAGGGGGCATCCAGTTCAGGGTGAACTGAGCCTTTGGCCACTTCTTCAACCCCATGAGCACCCTGGATAGACCCTGAGTTGAGAGCTCCAATCCGTCTTCCTGCTATTCTGAGACCCCTGCCCCCACCATGCTCAGGGCTCCCCTGGGGCATCCTGCCTCTGGGGGCTTCTACTCTCTTCTGCCCAGAGCTCTGTCCCAGGGTGGTGGTGGCTTCCAGTTCACCCTGTATAAGCTGAGTGTAGGAGCTGGGCATTTTCTACTGCTCAGCCTGCCATTGCAGGTGGCCGAGGATCCCCGGACTTCTGAGGGCCCCCATCACAGACCCCAGTGGAGGAGTGACTCCCTGTCTCTGTGGCTACCTCCTGGGCCCGGATTAGCTGGGCAGTCTCAATCCTAGAGATGACAGCTTTCACCGACGCGGGGGTCACCAGCTGGGAGGGGTCGTCTGTCTCCATCCTGGGCCCCTGGGTCAGTCACGAGGAGTCCTGAGTTTCTGCCACACAGGATGAATGCATAAGGTCCGTGGAGAGTGGCCCAGGGGAGCTCTGGGCACCCCCTGTCCAGCCGCAGCTCCTCTGCTAACTGTCGGCGCCTGCGTTCTAACTGACCCTCCTTCCCAAGTGACATCATCAGCTTGATGAGAGAATTAGATGAGACCTTCTCCCATCTGTCTGCCTGGATCTCTGGCTTCGTATTCTTTACCCGATTTATATATACAGAAATACTTGACCTGTTGCTTTTCATAAAAATCACAAAACGTCATGCCCCTAGTTAAACAGTACTAACTTAACAAGAAGCCATTCAGTCATTTTCCCATAAAGAACTTTTAAAATCTTTTCAAATTAAAGACAGTCAATAACTAAACGTGTGTATGGAGGCAAGCATCGCTGTGGACACCACATCTTAAGCACCTGACAGCTAAAGTGCATTGGTCACAACACTCATCTGGTGGGGAGGCCTGCACTGCTGGCTTCAACTCGGCCCAGCTCTGGCCACTGCAGCCATTGGACAAGTGAATCAGCAGTTAGAAAAGCTCTCTCTCTCTCTCTCTAACTCTCCTTTTAAAATGTAATAATAATAATAAAAAGAATGAATCAGTGGTCGGAAGATCTATCTATCCATCTATATCTTTCATTATCTTCTTTCTTTCACTTTTCATTTCAAATAAATCTACAAAAAATAATAAAATAGGGGTTGGCACTGTGGTGCAGAAAGCTAAGTAGCTGCCTGCCAACACAGACATCTTATATTATTTTTGTTTCAAGTCCCATGTGCTCTACTTCTGATCCAGCTCCCTGCTAATGTGCCTAGAAATGCAACATATGACCCAAATATATGGGCTCCTGCACCTATATGGCAGACCTGGTGAGAGTTCCTGGGTTCTAGATTCCAGCAGGCATTTGGGGGAATGAAACATGGGTGGAAGGTCTCTCTCTGTCTCTCTCAAATTTTGACTTCAAATAAATCAATTGATTAAAAATTTTATAAAAATACATGAATATATGTTTACACTTTCCCTGGGGGAAGTCTTAGGCAATTCATTGACAGTGGTAACTACAGCAAGAGAATCTTTCTTTTATTTATTTATTTTTTAAAGATTTACTTATGTTTATTGGAAAGGCAGATATGCAGAGAGAAGGAGAGAAAGAGAAGAAGATCCTCCGTCCGATGATTCACTCCCCAAGTGACCAGAATGGCCAGTGCTGCTCCAATCTGAAGCCAGGAGCCAGGAATCTCCTTCAGGTCTCCCACGCGGGTGCAGGGTCCCAAGGCTTTGGGCCGTCCTCGACTGCTTTCCCAGGCCACAGGCAGGGAGCTGGGTGGGAGGCTGGCTGGGAGATGGGTGGGAGGCAGGGCCACAAGGATTATGGCCTATAATCTGGGCCATAAAATCAGTACCAACAAATTTAAGGTTAAAAACCACATAAAATGTGTTCTCTGATCAAAATGAAATCAAACTATAAACGAGTAATCAAGAGATCTGATATTTTCCGAATGTATGTAAATGAAACAGCATACTTTCATTTAACCTATAAGTAAAAAAAAAAAAAATCACCAGGAGTATATGAAATTTTTGGAACTGGGTAAAAATGAAGACACGACATATCAACATTGGTGAGATGCTGCTGAAGCAGGGCTGAGAGGAAGGTGCCAGAGCAGCCAAAATAAGCAGAAAGCAGGAAGTTATAAGGATAAAAATAACAACCCAAAAAACAGAAAGCAAACAAAAATTTAAAAAAAAAAATCAATGAGACCAAACCTGTTTTGTAGTAAAAGGTTAATAAAGCTGATGAAATGCTACCCAGAAAAGGTCACAGAAAATGGAATTAAAGGTTAATTTGGCTTTCTATATAATTTGAGACTCAGAGAAGGTAGCTCTCTCTCACCCCTCTGACACCTGCAGCTCTATGAAGCCCCACCGCAGCCTCCTAGGAGCTGGCAGCGGGAGGTAGGTGTCAAACCCACAGACTCTGACATGGGATGCAGCCACCTGAAGTGACAGCTTAGTCACTGGACCAAATAAGTGTCCCCCCAACAAGACATTTGGAAACTCGTACACATAAGGGATCATCAGAAAGTTGGGCCTTACGAAAGAACTAGGTATGCTTTTCGAAAGCCTGTCTCTTTGCAACAAGATAAACTGATGCTTTAATCCCATTTTTGGGTATGTCTTCATATGAATCACAAAAGGAGAAAACTAAACAGTATCACTACCAGGAAGAGAGAGGTCATCACTACAGATTCTACAGAGGGAAAAACAGAAGGGAGGGCCTGGCGTGATAGCGTAATGGTTAAGGTCCTCGCCTTGAACACTCCAGGATCCCATATGGGCGCCGGTTCTAATCCCGGCAGCTCCATTTCCCATCCAGCTCCCTGCCTGTGGCCTGGGAAAGCAGTTGAGGATGGCTCAAAGACTCGAAGAAGCTCCTGGCTCCTGGCTTTGGATTGGCACAGCACCGGCTGTTGCAGCCACTTGGGGAGTGAATCATCGGACGGAAGATCTTCCTCTCTGTCTCTCCTCTCTGTAGATCCATTCTTAGAATGGTATCTGTGAACTACACTGAATCTGTTCTCTTTGTATTTAATACAGCATTAACATGAAAAAGTAAAAAAATTTTTAAAATATGTAAATGACTCAAAAAATAAGGAAAAGGAAGGAAGGATGGACAAACAAATGAACAAACTTTAAACAACTCAGCAATAAAAAGATCTGGCTTTCAAAGTGGGTAAGATTTCCCCAGCTGTAGGCAACTGCCTAGGTTGCCTTGTACCTAGGGAACTGTTGCACTGTTAGGAGAAAAGCAGTCAATAGCATTCTGGGCCTGGATAATGTCAAATATGTGTTAACTATACCGGAGTGCCAGCACCACTGCTTATTCTTTCTTTTTTTCTTTTCCTAAAGGTAAGTGGGGAAGGTGGGGAACACTGGGCAGGGACATGCCACCCTGGCCCCAGGTAGAGGAAGTTGCTACAGATTGCCCTAGGAAGGGAGTCTGGAGACGTATTGGAGTAGGAGCAGCTGAGGGCGTGTTTTACAGGGAATAAATGACTTTTGGCATCTTCCACGGACCAGGGCTCTGTACTCACAAGTAGTTGAGTGAGCTGAGATGGATTGGGGGAACTGGAGGGCATGTCTGGGTCAGGACAAAGCACTTGCCCACATGGGACACGTGGGATGGGCTAGATAGCATTGTCTGCCACCCACTGGTGCACACAAAACTGGGGTGGGGGGCATGCCTGGCTGGCCTAGGCTGCAGTGTCTGCCCACTAGTGTCAGGACAGGGGGGTGAGCCATGTTAGGCTGGGCCAGAGCACCCACCAGAACATGAGAGAACTGCATCTGGGAACAGATTCTGTGCATTTTGGACTTGCCTCTGTGGGACTGTAGCACTATTGATTTATGAGCAGAGCTGAGAGTGGTGACAGGCCTGGCCAGGCTGGACCATGGAACACATCTGACAGGAAACCACCTGACACCTGCAGAAGATTGGGCAGGGTCAGGCTTCAGCATGAAATGACACCTGCAAGGACCTGAACTGAGGACAGACCATGCCAAGCATGGCTGCTGTACCTGCCAGCACGTGTGGGATTGGTACTGGGAGCATGCCTGGTAGGGAAGCTTGGAGAACTCCCCTACTAGGCCATAGATCCCACTGAGGACCATAAGAGCTGAGGCTGGGGTGGGGCAGAGAAGTCTGCAGTACTATCAACATGTGTGTAGGTTGGGTCACAGCACCTTCTGGCACACAGGGGAGCCAAGACTGCAAGTGAGCCATGCCAGCTGTGTTGAAGCACCCACCAGCATGTGCAAAATCCTCGAGTTGAGAATGGGCCTGGTAGGAGAACTCTGAGGACCTCCCCTCTAGGCTGCAGCTCCTACTAGTGAATGTGAGAACTGGGTCTGGGTGTAGGCCAGACTGGGATAGACTTCAGCACCCCCTGGCATTTGAGAGAGCCAGAACGGGTGTGGGACAGGCCAGGCTTGGCCACAGCACCTGCCAGGTCATATGACAGCCCAGTCTGGGGGTGTACTGGATGGGCTAGGCTGAAGCACCCATTGGTAAGAGCTGGAATGGATGCAGACCAATCATGCTAGACCATAATGCCCGTGGTAAGTACTAGTACAGGGGGCTGGCCACATTAGTCTGGGCAGCAACACACGCTGGCACATGAAAGATGTGTTGCTGGGGACGGGCGGGCCTGGTAGGGGAACTTGGGGAGCCCTCTTCTAGGCCATAGCTCTCACTAGTGAGTACAAGATCCAGGGCTGAGACCAGGCTAGACCAGGCTGGGATACGCCACCCATTGGTGCAAGTGTGACTTGCATCTGGGAGTGGACTGTGCTGAGCCAGGTTGTAGCATCTGCTGGCGAATGCCAAGACTGGGAGTGGACGTCTCAGACAAGGCTGCTGTTGGCACAATTAAGACCTGAGGCTGGGTGTGGGCCTGTTAGGGGAACTTTAGGGACACTTCTTTCTGGGCTGCTGCTTCCACTGGTGAGCATGAGAGCTAGGACTGGGGACAGGTTAGTCTGTGGCAGCGTGGAGTGGAAGGGGCAGGCTGACTAGATTGATGCACCCTCTGGCACACACGAGAGCCAGAATAGATGTGAGCAAACTGGGCTAGTCCACAGTGCTTGCAGGGAAGTACCAGGACTCGGTGAGAGTCACGCCACGTTGTACTGCAGTACTGTTTGGCAGGCATAAGATCCAGGGCTGGGAACATACATGGCAGGTGAACTGTGGGCACTACCCTGCCAGGCTGTACTTATTGCTGGTGAAAGTAAGATCCAGGGCTGATAGCGGGGAAGGTTGGACATATGTCCTCTTGGCATATGTGAGGGTCAGGTCTGGGGGCAGGTTGGACTGAGCTGAGCTGCAGCATATATGGGTGTGCATGAGAGCTGGATGGGATATAGGCTGGCAAGCACAAAAACTGGAGTTGGAGGCAGGCC